AGCAGGAATTAAACAAATGACAGGACATACGGGCAGCAGTTTGAGTACTGCCTGCTCAAGCGATGCACATAGTTTAAAAAAGGAATCTGAACACAGGTGGTCAGAAAGACTACGGAGGAAGAGAAAGGGTTGCAGAGATGCACATTAAGCCAGGCAGAATAATAAGCCACACACAAGAAGTGGGTGAGTCGTTCTAATTTTTCCATTGCTACTCAATGAGCTGCTGTCAGAACTGGCAGCCTGGTAAGAGCTCACACACCGGTGAGCGAGATGTCCAGAAAAATCAGGCCAGACAAGCGGTCCGCACTCCGAGGCAGGAGCGGCCGGCAGCTCTCTCGCTTGCAGAGAAGCCCCACACATTTGGTTCTGGCGGGCTGATCTCCAAATACAGCGTGAAAGACCAGCACCCTCCTACAGGCTAACTGGTAAAAAGATGTTAAGCATACAAAAATAAGTGGAAATTTCCTCCAAGTAACTTTATGTCAAAGGGCTCTAATTCCAATAAATGTTGCATTTTGCAAAAGAAAACCCACCCAGGTTCCCATGCAGCAAACACAGGTGAAACTGTTCTAAAAGTATTTACAAGAAATGGGGAAATAAAGACAGTGTCCTCTTTCCATTCACTGATGCAGGTCATTTTTTGCCATGACAGCAGCCAGATATTAGAGACCAAACCCTCTCAAACAGACTTTAAGTACAGCAGGTTACAGCCATGGAACCAACTCTACCGCCCCAGGTTTCAATAACCCCAGCAGGTAAGGTACATGTGCAAACAATTTTTAAATTATCAGTACTGGTGGATGTAAAGCTTTAATTCCAATTTTTTTAAAAAAGCACACCATCCTTTAAGGCAAAAAAGAAAGACTTTTATCTCAATATTTTGAAATGCTGAGATAAAAAGTAGAAGAGACTTTCAGTTTTGCAGATTCAGAAAGATCGTTCCTTCAGATTAAGGTCTTCTGGGGCATATTTTTGTTTTATGATTATCACAGGGGCTCCCTTTCTACAGCTTGCTTATTCCAAGGACTTTAAATACATATGAAGGTAAACTGCTGTAAATTCCTTGATGTTTCGAATAGAAGACATTCCTAAATCAGACTGAACCTGAAAACAATTCTGAGACAGACACAAGCAATAGAAGAGCAGCTTACAGACTTGAACGCGAGTCAATCTCTAATTGAAGAAAGGCAGGATATTAACTGAAGGAGATGCCAGAACAACCAGCTTAATTTTTGTCTAAAAGCATTTTCATGGTCCAATGACAAATAAGTGCTCAAAATTGTATCCAAATGGCTTAATATGCTTGCATCAAAGAATTATTTCAAGGGTGTGCAGGTACGGAGTCTTCAAAGTCCCATACTAATAAATTTACGTACTCTCCATGTCCCACGTGTGTATATACATACGCACACACAAATCAGCTTTACAAAAAAACAGAACTAACCTGAAGACTTAAAAACATTAGAACAATATAAGCATTATGAGCTGTAAAACACATATCAGCTTAGGCATAAACATAACCTTTTAAACTTTAGTAAAAGAAACAGTGAAATTACTTTTTCATAAAATGAAGACTCTTTAATTTTCAAGTCTTTTTAATACACTAGGATAGCTTCTCTTTCTTAGGCTTTTTTAGTAATAATGACATCCTAAAGATTATTTCCTGAATTCTAAAGTTTATGGTTTATTCTTAAGTTTCAGCAACCCAAGACAACGGCTATACTGCATTTAACTACTTCTACCAGTGATTTTTTGTACAGCATAAGATGTAGTTCCACCTGTGACAACTTCAGACTTAAAACAAACAGGTGAATATGTTTTAGTATCTAAATATCTACATCAGTGTTACAGTGTAATGGTTTATGAGGAACCTGAAACCTCTTTCTCAAATTATAAACAGTAAGTTAACTCCTGCAGTTCTCCTAAATAGGACCATAGCTAGGAAATACACAGACATGAATACTTTCCCAAAACAATTCCCACTGGATTACGGAACGTGCATGACTACAACCTGACTATCCCTCTATACAGAGGGTACTGGTTAGAAAGAGGATTGAACGCACACCCTATTCCAAGAAACCACAGCACCATCCATGTAGCAGCCACGCAGGCTCAGGTATTAAAGACTGTCTCTTGTTTGGCCATTGCTGCCCTTCTCAGACGTCCAGTGGGCCACAGAGTAAATAACCTGGGAAGAGGGGGAAGGTCTCCTCCATGCAAATGCACAGAACGTGAATTTTCACGCAGAAGTTGTGGCACCTACTACAAAAACACCGTCCAAGCAGAAGCCTGTTTACAGAGCTTCCCTTAAAGTCAATGATCATTTTCTATTTGCCATACCCGTAGCCATGCCTTAATTTACTTTGAGGTTTTCTCTTTATTTATTTCTGACTAACATGCTATTTCTATCTGTACACAAGCCTTCTTACTGGTTTCTAGAATCCCAAAGCCTCCTAGTTTGAGTATATTTAAGCTTCTAACTTTTCACTTACTAAAAACCCCAAGAACCTTTATAAAAGTAGTAACACAGGAAACATTTGGTTTCAGGAGGTATTTCATTTGCCATCTTTTCAGCTTCCAGCTCCTAGAAATCACCAGAGGCAATGCTTTGCTACACTCATTTGCTACAAATCGGAAAGTTTCAGCAGGCAAACGGTTAAGATCCGGGGGAGGAGAAAAGGGTTGTTTCCTTTGCAGTTCTCACCATCCAGCACGCTCTGTTAGCGCAGAGGTTAAAGCCGCTGAGGTAAAGCAACACTAGTTATCATCATCAGCCACGTACTCTACATATTTGAAAGTCTCATTTTGGTCCTTTAAAGGCTGTTTCAGAAAGAGCAGCAACAGAATTGGGAGAAGCTCAAGTTTTCTGTCGTTCCTGTGAAACAGAGGACATTTCCGAAGTCAAACAGCGTTAATGCAGAATAAATACGCCAAGCATTGCGGGAAGCCAGATGAAGTCTTAAATGAAAAAACATTCACGTTAATGTTTAATCCTTTTTGCTTACACAAGATCCCCACACAAGCGACAGAATGAGGAATGTTGTCTGAATTTCTGCTGAAGGACAACGGGACTCTCTATTTGTTTTTATTATGCTGCCGTCTCCCGGCTAATTTTGTATAAGGTAAGACTGAATAAATTAGATCATAGGACTTCAGGTTTTTGCTTTTCCTTTATTAAAACACAACATGTTTTAATTTTTATAAAGTGACAAATACTTTCACTTAGGAAAGTCACTTAAAAATACTCAAATCTGCAAAAAGGTTAATTTTTTTACTCTGTCATAGATGTACAGTAGGATGGAGGTCATTACTACTACTGTTTGTATTATAAAAATCATAATACTTATGAATACTTGTTCTGCTCTGTTGCAACTGACTTAATTTTTTTTAAAGCCCTATAGCTTAAGGGTTTAAATAGCTTTCATAATATTTGTTTTATATTATGAGGTCACATACAGAAGGAAAAAAAAGGTAACAGGAAAACAGAAAAAAAAAAAGAGCAAAGATGAACAGCTAAACCTCCATAATTCTGTTGAATATGTACCAGTAAATGCCAATGCAATATTTTTAAGTAAGAATGGTTTAAAATTTCTAAGGTAGTATTAATAGGGTTTGATGAGTAAATTTTTTCTTTTACTTGATGCACGTCACAACACAGAAGCGGGCTCAGCATACTTACCCAAGGCTTAAGCAAAATCAAAGCAATGTGAAAAGCAGGTAAAAGCTCTGATTTTAACATCGTTTTTTAAGACCTGAATTAGTATTCACTTGTTTATAAAATGTCTACATGAATGCTCACATAAACGTCTTGCAGACAAAAAAAACCCCAGACATAAAAAGAGTTGGAAATAGCAAGCTAATGCCTTTTAACCGTTTTATTAAAGACAAAGTATTCGCAAGCAATGTGAACTATGAAGTCATACAATAAACTTTAACATTAAGCAAACACAAAGAGGACAGACAAAGTAGAACATTTAGAGGTGCAATGATGCTGCCCAAAATCCTACGGCAGGAAGCACTAGTGAACTCTAAGCGGTTTGTTCCTACGAAATGCACAGCACGCTATACAGCTAATGGGGTCTTGATGAACTGAGATGTCATTTCACAGGCTTATTTTCAGGCATAAACATAATTACACTTCTCTCTAGAGTTTCCATTTTTTTAATTGAGATGGAGGACCTCAGGCTTACAACCACAATTTTCTGTTAAGTAACATCCATAAAAGCAGCCACAAAGGTGCTTGAAAATCCCTACAAACAGGTTGCTTTCCGAAGCAACCTCAGCGCTTCTGCAAATTAAGACAATGTCATCCTATGCAGATTTAAAAAACCTACCGAGAACATATTAAAGGTTGAGTGTCACAGAGACCTTTTGACAATAATAAACATCTAAGAAAATTAAAACACAAGATGGTCACAGACTGGGTTATGCCCAGACAGTGGATCTTCTCAACAGGATGACACCTTACTCTTCAAGGGCAGGAGGAAATACGGAAGCAGCCATGGTATATGGGAAATAGAAGAATCCTTTACGTGGCAGATTTAATACAGTGGGATTAACAGCTGCAACTCCAGCTCTAAATCTGACAAAACATGAAGAGAAAGCTAATGCTTTCACTCCATAATATACCTGGCAGCTGAACGATGTCACATTTTGCTCTTGTGGGCAAGTCTTCCTCATTTAGCCGTTCCCCAGAAACATGTTAACGTGGGAGAAGGACCTGTTTCTTCTTACCTGGTAAGGGAGTGTTTGTGCACGTTTATGCTGCATATAAAGCACAGCTTCCAGATGCCATGCAGTTCAATCGGAAAAATCCGCAGTCAACATGGAACAACCTGAAACATCCCTGGAAGCTGTGGTCTGAAGGGTAATAAAAATTTAAGTGCATGAAACAAGGAGGTTATAGCTTGGTTGTCTAGGGAACTACCCTTTGCAACCTGTCCACAAAGATGTATTTAAGGAAAAAAATCTGACGAGTAAGCTCATTTTTTGCAGGTATTCTAAGCAAATACAAAGTCCCAAGTATTTCTATAGCTTCCCAGTGTCTTCAGGGCAATTCTTAAGTCCAGAAAGAACCTTCCCTGTGACATACCAGAGCCCACCACATTCACTAACTCAGAGCAACCTCAATGCTTCTCCTGTAATTATTCACTCAGAATAAAAGTTTTTCTGACTGCAGGTTCACAAAAACCAGTGCTTCCCTAACAGACACTCCCTCTCCCCAACTTCTGCAATTAGGCACATAATGGCCCTTAAGCAAATCTATTCTTGGCTCTGGTAATCAGCTGGTCGAAGGCTACAGCCCTGGGTTCTGTTTTACTGTGAAAATCCCGGCTTTCCCCTTTCAGTGGTGTTCCTTTTCTCCTTTCTGAACGATGCTGAAAGGTTGACAGGGATTTGATTTGCTGAAGATTCCTGTTCAAATGGACGAAAGACTCACATCAAGCTTGTTTACCCAGTAAATATATCCCTTAGGAGGTGTGAAGAAAAAAAAAAAGGTCTTCTGGGACTTGATTTCCTCATGTTTTTCTCTGGCCTCTGCATTCCATGCAGACGAAGAGCACTGCTGATAGAATATACAAGCAGAATGGATGAGCCTTCCACCTAACATAGAGCTTCACTTTCCAGAATGCTAAGTGGAAAAGAGCCATTCTTCCAGCATGAAATCCAGTGCGTACCAGTAAGAACAATAAAATAAATACATTCTTTCCCAACAGCCTAATAAGATTTAAAAATTGTGGTAATATAGAGTATCTATCCTCTTGGTTCAAATTCCGTATTCTTAGAGCTTTTTAAATTCTGTGCCTCATTTTTGTTTTCACCGAAATGTCCTCTTTATTTTCAAGCTAGGACAGTTATATACTGAGTTTTCACTAAAAAATAATTTTCCCCTTCTAATGAAAACCTAGCACCACCTATCCACAACAGTGTTCCTTTAATGAAACTGCCTTTATAAGAATATGCCTATTTTCTGTTCTTACGTACAACTGAGTATGTTGTGATGTGCACAGCTGCAGAGCATTAAATATTTACAGTTTAAATACAAATGTTATTAAAAACAAATTCATTGAATGAAAGGAGAAAAATAACTTAATTTTTTTTTTCTAATTAAACTATTAAGCTGAATGGCAGTTGACAAACCTTTGCCCCACCCGTGGTATTTTCTCTAGGAAGTCTGATACCAGGTACTTCAAGAATAAAGACCTCATGTAATTGCTGTGGGATTCAGGACTGCTGCACTCTTATGCTTCTGACTTTTCAACAAGGTAGACATAAGAAAAAATATCACAATGGAAAAACTCCTATGCCAATACTGATATAAACTACAGAGTTATTTCTGAGGGCTGATACTGGCAGTAGTGTCCTTATCTCAGGATATGCACGTGTGCTCAAAGTAAGAAATTAGTGTTGTCTGCATGTTCTGTTTTCCAAAGCACTAATACAAAGATGTCAGAGGGAAAAAGAAAATTCTCCCAAAGAGATAGAAACATTTGCTAACTTTATAAGGACAGAAAACCAGTCTGTTTTGTGGATTACGTTTTAGGCTCTTCCTTTCGTTTATTTAATAAAATTTCTGCTGATTTAATTTACTGATTTCTGTCCTCCATCAGAACTTAAGGCTTCCCAGGCCTTATGGAAATCTCAGCAGCAGCTGTCCCTTAGCTCACAGCGCTCACGCATCTTCCCTGTCCTAAAGCTAAACCTTGACCAACCTATGGCACCGGACTCACCCACCACCACGCCTCAAAGGCAAAGAAACTTCCAACCGAGGGGCCAGGGCCCCCCTTGCTCAAGCAGTGAAGCTTACAAAGCCATCTCGGGTTCTTTGGATAATTTTATTTGTCCCAGAAAGGCTGTTTGATGGCTTTGCAAGTACCATTTCCTGCGGCTGGGTACCGCAGCACGCGCATGAGCTCCTCCTCCCAGTAACCAGACAGACAGTAATCTCAGCATTTGGAAATGCATCACTAACGTCATCTAGTAAAAAAAGTCTCCCTCTCTTTATCTCATTTTTCCTTTCAGATAGTCTGAACGCTTAATGAAACTACGATGAGAAGACAGGATACAGAAAATAAAACATGAACCCACTTGATGCAACAAAATCGGGATTTTTAGTGTGCATTGCTGTCTGCATGTTCATCTACACTTTCATCTACCTAAAGGATGCGCCAAATGAACAAAAACTTAATGCAAATACAGCAGAGTGTGGCTTTTACCCGGATGAAATTTGTTCAGCTCTTTTTGTGGGAAAAACTGCTGCCTTTAAAATTGGAAACTTGTGTCAGAGTATCTACCAACCTAAACCACTCAGCTGCATTCAGACTTCGTGCAACTGCTCTGTGGTTCTGAAGACTCTGCATTTTATCACAAGACCACTATCAGATGAAGAAAGAAATTTCTCATTGGCTTATATTATCACAATTCACAAGGAGCTGGAAATGTTTGTGAAGCTGCTAAGAGCTATTTATATGCCTCAGAATATTTATTGCATACATGTTGACGAAAAGTCACCAAAAGATTATAAAGCTGCTGTACAAAACATTGTTAATTGCTTTGAAAATATTTTTATTTCCTCAAAAAGAGAAAATGTTGTTTATGCAGGATTTTCAAGATTACAGGCTGATATTAATTGCATGAGAGATCTAATTCATTCCAAAATTCAGTGGAATTATGTTATTAACCTATGTGGTCAAGATTATCCTATTAAAACAAACAAAGACATTATACAATACATCAAAAGTAAATGGAATGGTAAAAACATGACTCCTGGGGTAGTCCAACCACTTCATATGAAACACAGAACACGGCTTAGCTACAGAGAATGCGTAGGCTCTGGAGTATCATATGTGTATCCAACAAAGAATATAAAAGCTAAGCCTCCATATAATTTGACAATATATTTTGGTAGCGCCTATTACATACTCACCAGAGAATTTGTAGAGTTTACACTGACTGATGCACGTGCAAAAGAATTGCTTGAGTGGTCAAGAGACACGTACAGTCCGGATGAACACTACTGGGTCACACTGAATCGTTTAACTGGTAAGCTGAACGTTGTTTCTGCTATGAATAACTCCTGGACCTACAGCAATGAAACGTCTCTGACTCCGAGAGCTAGTCCAGAGCTTAACACTACCACTAAAGTGAGGTGCGCTGCATAAACGTGGTGATTTCTTCAGCCTTGATGCTGCCCTTTCAAAAAGTCACATCTCTAGATGGCTGGAATCAAGCTTTCTCTCTCAGAATAGTGCTACTTATAGTGCAGAGCATTAGCTACAAGGTTAGAAAAATGTTGATTAAAAAAAGAGTAATTTTTTTTTCAACATGAAAGCTCATGCTCTCAAGTAATAAAAATAGCAATAAGACTGAGAATGATGTCTACTCTTATGACATAAAAGTCTGTAAACAAATGTTTAATGTGGCTACATTTAAAAAGTCTTCAGCAGTGAAAATTTCTTCTGTAATAAGCTGAAAGAAATCTTATCTGAGCCTTATGTTTTAAAGATGCTCCAGGGGCTACACCCAAGGCAGACTGGGAAGGAAACATACGAGCCATTAAATGGAAAGATCAAGAAGGAACCACGCACAAAGGCTGCAAAGGTAACGTGAATTTTGATCATGAACTCAAAATTTGTTTGACTGACCACCATTCATTGCAAATTACGTATTATGCTTTAAAGTAGCGATTAAATCTGCCTCGGTGGTCACATACAGTTTACTTTGGAAGTATCAAATAGAACAGCAAGCCCCTCACTAAATTACTCCCCTGAATCCAACCTAAATAGCTTCAGCTGCATTACTGCACAGCTCATCACAGTATCAATACACTGACAAACCTTTCCATCTCCAATTACCAACACATCAACTTGACTCATCAGTTTTCAGTGAAGAGCAGGGAGCTTACTTGACATGCATATGTCAGATACTTTCATCCACACTGGGTTAAATCTCTTCCTTTTGAACGATAAAAAAGGAGAATAGTGCTGACCACAAGGAAAGCATGCAAAAAAAAAATAATAAATCAAAGTATGCATCTGTATTGACTCAGTAGAGTGAAGTCCTACATGGTCAAACAGGTACCAAACAGGAGCACTTCAGCACAGCCAGCTACCAGACCCAGTATGAGAGCACCACCTCAGTGAAGCAGCTGGAGGTAACATGGGTCCATTTGTGTAAAACACAAAGCCAAATCCTTGCCTTTATGTTTAAAATCTAGCATTATCCTCTAGATATTTTACAACAATGCTCTACGCGAAATCAAAAGTTAGTTTTTGTGAGCAACCCTACAGAGTAAAACTTCCTTTACTCTGTTCAGTGTTCGGATACCTTCAATTTGTCTTTGCAGGTCATTACATCAGAGACATTTGTGTCTATGGACTCGGGGATTTGCAGTGGATTATTGAGTCACCTCATCTGTTTGCCAACAAATTTGAGCCTGCAACATATCCCCTTGTTATGGACTGCCTAGAGAGACGCTACAGGCTTAAAGTACTGCACCAGGCAGAAGTCCCCATCGAAGAGCACTGGCGTTTCCAGCAAGAGAACTACTTCAACATGAAGCTGGATGTTTAACATTGAAATAATTGTTCAAATACTGACACAGACTTCACTCTGTGCATTACGGCACGAGAGTAAGCACAATGCTGAACCATCAGTCTGCCAGTGAAATAGATAGGTTTTAGTTATTACAGTAAGATAAAGAGCAACAACTGCTAATGCGTTAGTTCTCAAAGAAAATTACAAGTCTAAATCCATAACTTACTGAAGACAAGGGGGAGAGTTCATAATCCTTTAGGTCACTTATTTGACTGGAAAAATACATATTCCTCATGTCTGGAGCCAAAAAAAGGACTAACTGGTACGGAAATAATCATAGAATCACAGAATGGCCTAGGCTGGAAGGGACCTTAGAGATCACCTCGTCCAACCTCCCTGTCACGGGCAGGGACGCCTCTCAACTGGATCATGATACTCAAGGCTCCGTCCAACCTGGCCTTGAACACCTCCAGGGACATAAAATATGAAGACTACGAGTTAAAGTCCTGCCTACTGTATGTCTTATGAAGCAGACATTCTTAATAATGAAGTTCATGTTAAAATTCCAGAGCTTGTAGACAAGCAAGTGACAATCAGTTTCGGGCACAGTCCATTTCACATTTCCGTTTGCTTTTCATGGCCAGCTGCATCTCTAATTTATTGTGTAGCATGGCAACATCACTCCTGTGCTACTCAGGCTTTGCTCCTAATGACAAGGGGGTGTGTGCCACTAACAGCAGCAGGGATCCTGCAATGCACATTTACCTCTAAGTCCCTGTTTCTGGGTGTCTGCAGGAGTTTAACACAAGGAGACATGGGAAATTTGAGGCCAGGGAACAAAGGAAAAGTGAGAGAAAAAGCCACCTTTCAATCCCAGTGTACCTGAATGAGGGAAATAAAACTTCCACAAATCTGACAACGGTCTGCAGCAACTGGAGATAACACCTGGCAGCAACCAGGGCAAGCATCTCATTGCCCCAACCCTCTGGAGAGCAAATGAAGCACTTGCTGGTCTACAGAAAAGAAGTGGCTTTCAACACACAACACAGGCAAAACCAGGGAACAGGAACAAAAACACACACACAATAAAAAAAAAGAAGGAAAAAAAAGGACAAAGATTCAGCCCTTTTCCAGGCAAGAGTTACTCTTTTCTCTCCAGAACTATTAAATGAATGCTTTCACTTGTGCAACCAAAAAGACTGAGTGAATATAAGGAAGGAGAAACTATTAGAGGTGCTCTTTCAACCAACTTCCATGGGATTAAACATCTGACAAGAGCAGGTCTCCAAAGGTCTTCAGTGAGGTGCTACTGACAGAAGGAGAGCAGGAGAATTGCGAGAAGTCCTTTCAAACTGCTCATCCTCCTTTAGAAGTATTTTGGCAAGAATGCAGATGGAAGTTTCATGCCAGCAAGTCCAAATAAACTCTCAATTATTTTGCATGAACTCTGATGGGAACTAATAAAATATATCTTGTTACTTGTAAGCTCACTTGATTAGAAACTGTCAATTACTACGTCTAGGAGCAATTTAGATGTAAGCTTCAATATGCACCTAAAATATCACGCAGTTTTTACAAGAAAATTGACTTCCATATAAAGCATTTTAAAAAAAACCCATAAAAATATCAAATGAGTCAACAAATGACCCAACAATAGAACATGAAAGCTTTTCATTACAAACTTATTCCCAGGTTCCTGGAACTGCACTGCTCATTTTCCCACACAAGTTTCTTGGAAACATAGCTGCCGTCAAATGAACTTTAACCTACAGAAATACCATTTGCTCCTTATTTATTTACACAAACTTACAAAAAACTTTACAAAATAAAGGGGGAGAAAAAAAGGGGAGGGGGGCAAAAAAAGCCATGCAGCATGTTCATACTGAGCTTGTTGAGAGTCCCTTTGAAAACCATTACTGCAGCTAATGGGTCTCTGGCATGTATTAATCATAGCAATATTCATAATTAATTTCTCCCCAAACCACACCCAATCCACTGTAGGGCACCACCAGCACTTATCCACGCCATGTTCTCCTTTTAAAAGTTAATGGAATGTTCCTTGTTACTGTCATTGCAGCAAATCCAGTATCTAGCTTTCACCTTTTGTCACCACCACACAGAATAATTGGTTTGTACCATTTCTGAATTGCATTAAAAGGACAGATTCAAGAGCAAGGTGCTGTATAACATGGGCCTGTTTTGCAGACGCTGAATCCATCAAACTACGGGAAAAAAAAATCTGCACAAAAAGCCCTCGTAAAATATAATTTAGGTATGACTTTACCCATGTCAATCCAGGAACGTTATTGGAGTGTGATCCTTCTTCTTTACGGGATTTTGTGTTTTAAACAAAACTTTTCATATAAAAGCCCCATGATAAAAAATCATAATTAAACCATGCCAGTCTTATTCATTAAGAAACAGTACTCTACTCATTCTGAGCGACCATAACCACATGACATTCCTGAAGGACTTTTTACTTCTAACAAAAGGTAAAAAAAAAATTAATAAACTATGAAAGCTGAGAGCATTTAAAGATACATAAAAAGCATTCACTAGGTTCCTTATGTGTTATCATATGAGTGGATCGATCACAACCCCTGTTGACTAACTTCTGGAGACTGTTGATCTAAGATCAAATAGTGCCAACGTGACCTTGCTGAAGGGACGCAGAGCTCTGACGCTCCGTGCACACACCAGGGCCGTATCTGAAAGCCGTGTGCGTGATTTCTCTTTCAAAGAGCCTGAGGCACAACATTCAATAGCTCTATATCTAAGTCAAATGTTTAAGTGTTTTATATGGCACAAACTTTAATAGGGTATTATTTCAAGGGTGTATTGGAGTCTGTTGACTCTGGAAACAACTGCAAAATAAATTTAAAAGTGATACAAGAAATTACGTTTTAAAACGGGATCTTAAGTCCTTGAGTTCCAGAGTGACTACCTGAACGCCAGGACTTCCAGCAGAGATTCGATAACCTTTATCCTGTCTCCAAATATCACTAGCGTAACAGTAATTTCTTAGACAAGAGAGTCAACATCAAAAACTGGTAATGGTGCCTTTTTCAACCCCCAAAAGTGAGGTTAAACAGATGCTATATATTGTCAGGCAATTCTTCTATTCCATCATTTCTGAATTTTTGTCAAACACCAACTTCCAAACAAGCAGGTACCAAAGACTGCCCATGCAAGAATGAGGAAGCCAGTTACAAGTTCCCAAACTTTTAATCACTTTGGGTCCCACCAAGAACTACAGACCAAGACAGATTAGCCTTATCTTACATCTTCAAGATCCCATTAAAAATAAAACGAGGGAGTAGCAACAAGTCTTGCTTGTTCCTTTAATTTTACTAGTCTGTTGGAGAATTAAGCACAATAGGTGAGCACATCCTATTCAAAACTGCAAGTTTTAAACTGACCATTGCCATGTTACTTATATTTCTTCCTGAAGATCAGAAAGCAGCAAACTCCTGAACTTCAAGGCTTCTGCTACAGAACATACACCATCAAACTGTAATCTGAAAGTAAAGTTGTTTTGCTGATTGAAAGTCCTATCTTGCACATTTTAGCATGTGACAGTATTGATAGTTTAAATTCTCGCTTCTTCCTGTACAAAACCTCAAAATATGGCTCAAACAAAACATAGTTCTGTGTAAAAAGGTACTTTACATTTTATTTACATTCATAGGTTGCCCTGTTTTAGACAAAGCTCTTTTTCAGCCCTTTTCAGTCTAAATAGTTAGAAGCTTCAAAATGTGTCCCAAGCACATCACCTAACAAGCTCACTCTCCAACACAAATCACCATTAAAAAATTCTGACTGCTCTTTCAAAAGTCCTTGGCATGGGAAATTTTTGATATTTTAGCAAGACAGTTCAAAGCATTTACCACTGAGGCAATAGGAGACAATCTCTCTCTCCCCCCCTCGACATTGCTACAGTGTCTGATTGCCCTAAGACTTTTCACATTTTAACATTAGTTTTTAACTTGAATCCTTCAGGATGCTGCTACTTGAGCTGTGAAGCAAGGAAGAACAGTTTACTTCCAAGGGCAGTAAAGCTCACTTAAAAAATGGCTTCACACATTAATAACAGTTGCCTTACTAAAGGTCCTCCATCATGCCTTTCCCTAGTACAATCTTTTTAACAACTCTATTAAATATAGATATTTATCTGATTTTACTATAGTCAGCTCTTCACATAAAGTTTTTATTGAGGCAAAATGTGGTTTTTTGAGCTAGAAAGACTGCTTCATCCTCCCTCTACCTAGATTCCACCAAGCCTTTCAAATCTAGTACCACAGCAAGTACTGCTGAGATAAACCAAAGAATGCTGGGATTTTCCATTTCCTTTAATTGGATAAAATCCGCACATGCATTCAATTTTTTCCTAACAATTATTTCATATGCTTGGCAAAGAGATTGTTATCTTTCTTGTATGAGCTGCCACAGAAAAAAAAAAAAAAAACAGCAGAAAAATTGAGTAGTGAGACAACTGCCTCTGGGACTTCCCACAGTGGGAAGCATTCCCATGGGCCAAGCTAAAAGGCCTGGAAAGAAAGCAGCCATCTGCTCTGAGCACAGCAACACCATTTCCCACAGTTTCACAAGCACAACATTTTGTGATTTGCATATTGTAGCCCATACATACACGTTCGTTATCTACTTCAGATGATCGAGTTTATATGAGCACGAAGGTGGCAGGCACAGAACGGTTGTCTGAGCTGCTGGGGACCTCTATCCTCTGGCGAGTGTTTTCACTGCAGCACCACCAAGCCCTTTGGGAAACCGTCGCTGCTAACTATTTAGCAGAGTGCCAGGACTGCTCCCTGGGCTCACAGGTAAAATTAACACACAGGAGCAGCTTGTTTTGAAAGAACTTTCTTAAATTTACAGTAGTGGGGAAGAGAACTGCCATGTTGCTCCTAGGCTGAGACTTCTCCAGTTTACATCCTTGCTATAAACCTCACCCCCTGGGACACAGTGAAAACAGATTCTGCTAGCTGAAAAGAGACCCCGAATACGCAGCGTAAACAAGCCAATACAGGGTTATTATTCTGCAACTACTCTCATCACGTCACTCTCTGAAGTCACACAACGCCTCTGCGCACAGACATGGCAGGGGCACAAAGGACTGGACACATGGGTACACACAGGCAGGCAGAAGGTGTCAAGGCCATGAGAAAAACACCCAGACAAATGCTGTGAGCCCACATGGTTCCCCTTAAGTTGGATTTTGGTTCAAAAAAAAATTTTAATTCCTAAAACACAGCAGTTAGTTGTAGGGCAATCCACAACATTCAAACACTCTGTGCTTAACTTTTTTTTTCATTTTGAAAGAGCATGTATCAGAAAAGGATTGTATTTATTAATAAAAAATTTCTAACCCTAGCATATAATAGACAATACTTCATTATTTTTTTTCTTGATTTGTTGTAGTTCATTTTACTATATGCCCCACTGGTGCTTAAAGATAGAATGTGCTGGGGGAATGCTCTTAATTAGGACTTTAGATATAAACAAACTATCAGCTACCAGAAAGCACAGCAACCAGTTCCCCATGATCCTATTTAGAAGAGTTCTCGTTCCCTTCTTGATTCTGAATACAGAAGGAGAATATTATCAGTATATATCCACAAATCTGCCAAATCACTCTTTGATCCTAATCAAAGCAAATGTGGACTAAAACATGTTGTCCCAGCTGGTTACTGTTGTCTTTGCGCACCCAAACCCAATAATGAAAAGATAACACAAAGATGATTATATTGCAAAGATGACTATATTACATCCACTTTGTTATTTCTAGAAGTATGCCTCTGTCTACCGAAGAATTCACATTTGTGAACACAGTTGCATGCAAATATAAGGCTATGCTAAATAGCGATTATTAAAAAACAAGCAAACCAACAGAAAACCTGTGGGATTCATTTAGTTCTTATAAGACTATCACACTGACCAAACCAAGAACAAAATATCTCATTCTTGCATTTAATTATCAAGTTACATCCACCTATCAACAAAAATTCAGATGCAAACAAAAAAACTCATTAAAAATAAATTTGTATCCGCCAACAGGAAAGGAAAACCATTAGGACTCACCGAGGATTCTGCAGAACAAAATGAGCACTGAACACAGGAATAGGAGACTGAACCTAAGGAGGTTCCACATCATCTGCAACAACTTACCAAGAAAGTTCTTCCTTTATGGGTCTTGTTTTACCCAATATCAGGTTTTTCACTAAAAAATAACTCTGCCTAAATGTGGCAGCTATCACCATGAACTTCACTGCTACTAGGAGCAGTTACAGGAGAAAAGAGAGTGTTTGCAACTTTTATCATTCCCCCTAGCTGCAAAGAAACCTATACAATGAGATCAAACTACCACTGTAAAAAGAAATGCAGTGAGTATTTTCTAAAGTAGTTCATACAATGGCTGAAAATGCTACAAAGAGTTGTCCTCTCTCAAAATAACAGCAAATGTCCTTTAAAAATACAGGGATCAATACAGAACTTGAAAAAGTAAACAGTTTAAACAAACAGAATGGACACTGATAACACACAAACTACATGCATTCTGGAGAAAAAAGAGAATAAAACACCTCGAATGAAATATCCTCCAAAATCACCCTTTTAAAGGCTGAAAATATAACCAAATATTTTGGGGAAAAAAAAAATAATAAAATTCCAAAGTAGTGATCACCAAGCCAAACTGTCTCTGAGAATAAAAGTACTCATTTTTAAAATTACTTAGACATGCATTTTTATTTAAAAAGGCCATACACAGAATTTCTTCACGCCATAAACAGAACTTTCACAAGTTCAGCTTGCATATTCATATGCAAAACCCCCACCACTTGACAACAGTGGGTGTGAATGCAATTATCTGTATACGTATGTAAATATACATACACACACATGTATGTACCCATATCTATGTATCTGTGGAGGTCATACGTGACCTCACTGCTACTAACGCTGAATAAAAACTCACCTTGTGACAAACTTCTGCTTTAATTTCTTTGAGAGCACGTTCAGAGAACACACAGCCGCAGTTTCTCAAGAAGCAAAACCTTTGAAGAGAAGACAAGACATAAAATGTTCCTGTCTGAAAGATATGCAGTACCAATTTAACACAGAAACGATACTGCAGTGGGCTGGCAGGACACAGCTAACTTCCTCTTCACAAATTCCTGCAACTAATCTCTCGAGGGGATCTTAACAAAACACATGTTCATTCATTTAGAAAAGGCTTAACTTTTTATCTTTCCTCTTGAACATGAAATGAAAGGACATTTTGTAGTTACCTAAACTTCCTTCTTCTGACAGGAAGGCAAATATTCCCCAAAAAGGCTTGAATAAGTCCGTAATTTGCAAGATTATCAACTCAAACGTTTTCATCCGCTCTATAATCCATTTAGCACAGTACTCACTTCTGAAAACAAAGTCCAGGAACTTAAAGACTGACCTGTGTCTTCCATTCATTTCCAATCCCACCACTGGGCAGATAAAGCGTGCAGACTGGATGTCATCATATTTGTCACCTTTTATGCTCTCTTTATCACCACTCCAAGCCGGATTATCTACAAGGTTTAGTTCTGTTACATTCTAAAAAATGAGAACACAAACAAATTATGGTTTTGTAGCAGGTTTTAGTTTTCATGGCACTCTTTAATATCAGACACAACCTGTTTACCTTAATGCTTTTGATATGCGACGCAGCTTCCAGAGGAGTTTTATCCGCTGACTTATCCAACAAAAATTCAATGATGGCATCTTTATTATACAACCTATAACATAAAATTTTTAGTAAACCAACTTTTAGTAACCATATTTGATTCTCATGATTTCATAAGCCTATAAATCGATACCTTTTAATATTGTGGTCTATATGGAAACGCGTACCTGCCTAGCTCACAGGCTACAATTGGCCGACGTAACTTCTCTTGACTCAGAGCACAGTAGGACCATCGTGCCACCAACTCAGCATTTTTGTCAACCTAAAGGCCAAAAACATATTCATAATTTTAAAAAAGTTTTTATATTTGCAAACTATTTAAACATAAAAACAAATAATACTTAAAGTATCAATGAATTGTCCAGGTATCTTACCAAACCTACTTTATGCACTCAAAGCCAATCCATGAAGTACCTTTAGGAAAACATTTTAGCAAAATTCATGGCCAGTTTCAAGGGTCAGTCTCTATTGATTGAACATGTTCCTGCATCTTAGGACTTGGACCTATCTTTCCGATTCTAATTTAGTTTTCTCAATTTTTTGCCACCTCCACCTGCCCCTTTCCCTCTTTATCCTTTTTTTGTTCCTTCCATGTTCTCCACTATCCTCTTCTTTCTAGTTCTACATCTCACCCCTGCTTGGGTTAACTACCACTCCCACTCCCTCTAAGGAACAAGGCAGCAAGAAAAGCACACCTGGGGATGTCGGGATGCTACCTGAACCTCCAGTCTAAGCACATGAATTGCACAACACATTAGGCCTTAAAAGAAAGCCTGAGGGTCACAGCTAGTCTGACAGTCAGGTGTGTGGAGGAAATGGATTTTATTCACTTATTTTACATCAGAAAGGGTGATTTGCCTGTTTTCTGCCACTTGCTGTGAGATTTTTTTCCCAAACTTCACCCACCTATCCACACATGTGATGCCACCGCACATCCGTTACCTTAACACATCCTAAAGAGAGGCCACGCAACATTCAGAACGCAG